TCAGGAAATGTGTGAGGGACCGGTTGAGGTTACTGCTCTTCTCTTTTAGGCAATGGTCAGCCATTTAAAGACTGGAGGTCATGGAGTGGCACAATCAGGTTTATGTTTTAAAAGATCCTGTAATGGATGGGTGCGGTGGTTCACACCTGTAATCCCAGCACTTTGGGAGGTCAAGGAGGGCAGATCACAAGGTCAGGAGTTCAAGACCAGCCTGGCCAACATGATAAAACCCTGTCTCTATTAAAAATACAAAAATTAGGCAGGCGTGATGTGTGTGCCTGTAATCCCAGCTACTCAGGAGGCTGAGGCAGGAGAATCGCTTGAACCTGGGAGGCGGAGATTGCAGTGAGCCAAGATCACGCCACTGCACTCCAGCCTGGGTGACAAAGTGAGACTCCACCAAAAAAACAAAAAAAAAACAAAAAAAAAAACAAAACCAGATCCTGTAACTTAGTAATTCTTAAGTCTGGCTCATATTAGAATTATCTGAGAGGATTAAAAAATACTGTTGCCTGGCGGCCATGTGATTCTAATAGAATCCAAACCTCTGGGGTAGGACCCTGGCTCTAGTCATCTTAAAAGCTATACCAGATGATTCTAACATAAATCTAGGCTTCAAAATCATAGATATAAATGATGTGAGAGATGACATTAATACTAGTGCCTGTAGTAGAGTGTCCAAGCTGACTTGACACAGTGTGATTCCAAGTTATTTTCTCCAAACCTAATATGTTCATGGATCGCACCAATAGAAGTACAGTTTCTGAATGAGAGAGGGAGTTCCTGCTCTCTTTGCATTAGACCCAGTATGCCTGCAAATTTTGTTCACTTCTCAGCACCTCACTCAAGGAGGAAATTAAGGAAACTGAAATATTCCCAGGAAAGAAGCCAACCAGGTGACAAAGGCAATCTAAACCACAATGGAGAGGAATGGTCCAGTAGCTCCAGATATGTTTAATCTACAGTCAAAATACCTTTTGAAAAGGATGTTGTAGGAATCTCAGTTTTCAAGTAAGTCAAAATATGTTATTTATTCAATGGGTAAAAATGAGGGTCTATGATATACCCATCCTAGGCATTGGAGAAATGACAGAAAATGAAGTAGACAAAAATCCTTGCCCTTGTGGAGTTTATGTTCAAGTGAAGAATGAGTTTTTTGGTTCACATGATCTTCAAGATTATAATTTTTAGCCAACTTCTGTGATTAGCAGTCATAGAATGTGTTATAGGGAGACATATTTTAGTTGTAATTTTAGAACATTAAAAGTAGAAGTCTGAGAAGCAAAGAGGTCACCACATATGGAAGGATTTCAGCAGGAGCAGCCGTTGTAGAGGGGATTCAGGAATCTAATGCTAAGGATAAAAACAGTGTGATAGGAAGGAGACTCATGAGGAGTCCTTTGCAAAACTGAGAACCAAGTACAGTCCTATTGTATTATATACTAGTGGTGCTTACATAGTTTGATCATTTTCTGTGTGACATGCATTTTGCTAAGTGCTTGTCACACATTGTCTCACATAATATTCAAAACATTCATCATATAGGTGAAAAGAATGAAACTGTCAAATTATAATTTTTAACAAGTTAAAAACACGACGTGTAAATATGAAATGAAGATACATCAGACATTTTGTGTGACTCCTCAATAGAGGAATTGGTGTGATGGTAAGACTGTTTCCAATAACATCTGAGGAGCTCCTTATTTATAGATTTGTTATAGGGATGTTAGCAGAGATTCCTACCTTGGGTACAAGACTGGTAATGTCCTGAAGGGCAATAAATGATCACATTTGAGGTCATTTTCTCTACTGAAAAGAAATTATTTGCATCTTTATTGGATAAAAGTCTCCAAGTTAACATGTACCTATACTAAATGTGGAAACCTTTTTCAGTAGCAAACTAAGTTCAACAAATGACATTCCCCTTAAATTCTTGAGAGAGCCTGTTAAGCAATTCCCACGTGATACTGAAAAAATAAAAACATAACTACCTTTTGGCTTTCTTTTTCAAGTTTGCATGATGTTTCTTAATATTAGAAGAATTAAGTAAGTTTTCAGGATTTTCTAGCTAGCAGTAATAAAGCTGGGTCTCAGACTGAGGTCTCTCCAGATGTCCACAATGAAATGAGCCATATAGCAGGTCTTTGGGGAGGCACGGGCGCAGGGTCTCATGAATCATAACATCATTGATTAGAGCTAAGTCCGAGCTTCAGTTTTTCTGTTGTCGCTTTTTTTTTTTTTTTTTAAACTGGTAACCAGAACATTCAAAATTAACTTCTTCGACTTTTTAAAATTTCTTTGTTTCCCCCAAAAGAACCTGGGCACAAAATGTGAATAACAAACAATAAGCGGTTCCTTAGCCATTTGCTACCACTGGCTCTAAGACAAAGGCTGTGGAACCCCCACGGAGAAATCTGATTCTTTAGAATTTGTAGCAGCTATATTCTCAGAAAGATTTCTTCCTCAGCTTGTGGGATTTTATTTTGCTATTGTTGTTAATTTGGGATGTTGCAGTTTCCAAACATGGACATTGCAATTGTTAATAGTCTTCTATTTATAGAGTGGTAATTTTGAGCTCTTAAGGTATAAAGAGAAAGGCCAGTTCCCTAGAATGGCGCTTTGTTCAGCCTCCTGTAACTGACTGCGGATTTGATCTCGCTGTTTTTCTTTTCTGTGAGTTAATCTCAAGGAAAGAACTTCAGTATTAAGTTTAGGGAATAAATGGAAAGTAGCTGTGTGGCTGGCTTAATGTTCCAATAAGGCTTCAGGACGGTTCTCCAAGTTTACGGTGATAGGCCCCTATTACATAAAGTTAAAGCAGCAACAAACTAGCCACTCAAATACTTTACTATAGAACTCACATTAGATGACAGAGTACAATTTTGCTTTTGGGTTAGAGAAAAGTTTGGCTTTTGCTCCATTAAAAATAAAGTAAACCGAAATGTATTTGTAGGCAGTAATAAATAGTTTACATAGATTATCTCACTGAATCCTTAACAATTCTATAGGTGGGTTCTATTATTCCCATTCACAGATGCAGAAACAGACGGAGAGAGGTTAAGAAAGCTGATCAGGGTTTATAGCCAGTAAGATGCAGAGCTAAGATTAGACCCAGGCCATCTGATTATAAGGCTAGATGATATCACCTTCCCAAATTATGCTGCAGTAGAGAAAGCACATAGAAAAAGAGAGCATGCCAGTTAGAACGGTGATCATTAAAAAATCTGGAGACAACAGATGCTAGAGACGATGTAGAGAAATAGGAACATTTTTACACTGTTGGTGGGAGTGTAAATTAGTTCAACCATTGTGGAAGACAGTGTGGAGATTCCTCAAGGATCTAGAAATAGAAATTCCATTTGACCTAGCAATCATATTACTGGATATATACCCCAAGGATTATAAATCGTTCTATTATAAAGACACATGCACATGTATGTTCATTGTGGCACTGTTTACAATAGCAAAGACCTGGAACCAACCCAAATGCCCAGCAGTGATATACTGGACAAAGAAAATGTGGCACATATACACCACAGAATACTACGCAGCCATAAAAAATGATGAGTTTGTGTCCTTTGTAGATACATGGATGAACCTGGAAATCATCATTCTCAGCAAACTGACACAAGAACAGAAAATCAAACACTGCATGTTCTCACTCATAGGTGGGTGTTGAACAATGAGAACACATGGACACAGGGAGGGGGGCATCACACACTGGGGTCTGTTGGGGGATGGGGGACTAAAGGAGGGACAGCAAGGTGCGGGGAGGTTGGGAAGGGATAACACCGGGAGAAATGCCTGATGTAGGTGACGGAGGAATAGAGACAGCAAACCACCATGACATGTGTGTACCTATGCAACAATCCTGCAAGATCTGCTCATGTACCCCAGAACTTAAAGTTCAATAAAAGAAAGAGAGCACTAATCCCATTTCTAGCTTCAGCTCTGGTATTAACTGTCTTTAAAACCCTGGACAAGTCATCTCATCTGTCTGGGCCTCTACTTCCCTCTGTAAAATAAAGGGTAGAAACTAATTTGGATTGGATGATCTTTGGGGTGTCTTCCATCTCCAAAGATCTGATTCCGTAATTGCATCCTGACCTTAGATGTGTACAAGCACCTCCCACGCACCCCCACCACTGCTTCCCAAGACAAAAAACTAATCCTGCTGAAAATGTCCACTGTAATTTGATGCTAAGCTCAAGACCCCGCTGAATCTACAACATCCGCTCGAGAACATACAACACTTACAATCAGGCAAGCCAGTTCTTTTGAATAAGCTGCTAATGGGGTGTGATTTTTGGAAGTAAAATGTTAATACCAAAAACAGAAAAAAGAAACAGTTCAAAACAAATGCTCCTCTCTTAAAATCACCGCTTTTCTACAGTGTTACCTTGACAACTTAGCTCTGCCTCTTTACATATGGGGGGTTTTCAGTGTGGGAGAAGAGGGGTGTCCTCCTATTTTGAGATTTCCTCTTGTTGCACTGAAAGGGAAAATGTCAAAGGTAGAGCCCAAAATCCAGCTGAATCTATGTATGCCGGGCATCTTGAGGGAGTGTCATCCAGAAATAATCACAGGTGCACAGAATTAGGACACATTCTGATTCAAAGTACATTTTTCTATTTCTCATAACCATAACACACATTGCAACAGCCTATAAAATGTTACATTTTTGGACCAGCACAGTTACAGAGCAGAGAGCAACAAAAGTGCCTACAAAATAATTGCATTATTTTTAGTTACTGCAGCCAGAGATATACATATCAGGTTGAGGGGACAACTCGGAAGAACTGTACCCGTCTGGAAATGCTAAAAATATTGCTCCCCCTCCAGCAACTCAAATTTTGAGCAAAGACTTAGGAAGCGGCAGGTAGGGAGATCAAATTAGAATTTACGTCTCTCAGCTGTAATAAGCTTGTTATCAAGGCTGGCAAGAGCTCAGGGGGCTGACAGGGGTCAGCTGGGGACTCAAGTGTAAGGAGCAAGTGAAAAAGGGGCAGTGTTGAGCAGAAGAGAGGGCTTATCTCCAGCATCTAGCACTACAGAGCAGAGGCTGTGTGGAGGATGGCTGCAAAATCGGAATTGGTGGTAGAAGCAGTTTCCTTTCTGGTTGTGAGTATGAGCCCGGCAGACACCATGAGCGCTGCCGCAGGGGAGTGAGCCTGTGCTTGACACATGTGTTTCCCATTGATAGCTGGAGACAGCCCAGTAGCTGTGAGTCGGTCTGACAAAGCCATATTGAAGTACAGAGTACGGTTTCAAAGCAGTCAGAAAAAGAACGGGAATGCTGTTCAGGAAATTCTTCAGGCATGGGCAGGGACTTGGCTGCAGTTCTGCAGTTGGAAAATCTGACTGGGGCAGCTTCTGAGCACAGGCTGGGCCTGCTCACACTCCGCGGGCCGAGTGGCCACCTCCTTCAGAGCTGCTCAGCACGCCCTGGGATCGCCAGCGGTTTTCATCGGCCGGTGTGTGAGCCGGACAGGAGAGGTAGGGTACCGTTCAGTTCTTGCCTCTGCACGCCTCTGTTCACTCTCTAAGCTGTTTGCCTGCTGTGTTTGCAGGCACTCCGAGTTTTTAATGTGTGTGTGTGTGTGTGTGAATTAGCAAGTTACAACTCGGTCATGTCAACAATTGGTATGGGGCTCTCATCTGTGCTTTTCCCCCTTTAAGGTCTGATTTTCAGCAGTGCAGAGCGACTTTTTTTCTAAGTTAGGATTTAGCTGGCAACATTATTGTGTAAGGAGAAGTATGTGAATTCCTTACGTTGTCACCCTGCTCCAACCATCTGTAACTTTTCCTTTCTGCGTGGAAGGACCGTTCACTGGCAAGGAAGATAATTTTAGATGAAACTGTCTGTATACTTTGCTTCGCAAGAGTTTTAAGAGGGGGAGGTTTTTCTTTTCTCTCTTTTTTTTTTCTTTAGCAGAAAATGGCTCTGATTTTAGGAGGGAATCACAGTTTGACGTTTCTATGTTGGACAACACTCTCAGACTGTCGAAACAGATATGTGTGTATGGGTTTCTAAAATCTTTTATCGGGAGTTTGACTGTCCTTATCTGGGATTTGATTGTCAGTGATATATTTGCCTAGAAGTATGCTGGATCAACATTTGTAATTCTGTTTCTATAATCATTTCCAATTTTCTCACTTGAAGTAATTTGCAGTTTTACTCTCAAAAAGTACTTCTGTATTTTAGGAAACATAGATTAAAAAAGTAACAGAAAATGGCAGTTTACTCAAAATTCTTCTTAAAGGACAGAGACATAATGGTGTGAATCTTATTTCATTGATCACTTGGTTTTATTTTACACCTTACTGAAAAAGAGAGCTTTTTATAAAAAATCAAAGTTTAAAAAATTTTCAGCACAACAGGGATCTCAGTTTTCCTCTTCAGTTTTGGTTTTTCCTTATCAACTCTGTTGCAATATAGATTTTTTTGCTCTCCTAGGAAAGCTATACCTTGTTTTCTGTACAGCATTTAGAAAACACACAGTACAATGTCATTGTCTTTGAGAGACTGGTTTGGTCCAGGCAAAGCCGAGCTAAACCTTACAACTGCTTTAAGATGACTAGCCCCGCAACCTGTGACAACATTGTTTTTTTCTGAAAGGGGCTTGGCCAGGAGTCTGGTTGGGGAGACAGATGAATGAATGGAATCTTGGATACTTCTTGAGTAGCTGAAGAGGGACTAGACCTCTTAGGGTGGATCCCTGTGACAACAGGTGTGCGTTTACTTGTGTCTTACTTTGAACAAGTAGCTAATAAAAGAGCGTAAGGTTAATCCTGAAAAAAAGTGGAGAGCCGCTGTTTCTCATTTCTTCCTCTGCACAGGACCCAGAATGAGTAGGCACATTTTCTGTCCTATTGGTAGAAGGTCAGGATTTTCAGCCAGCAATTTCCTTTCTTCCTCCACTGTGTTGTACTTGGAGAAGAGAACTGGGACATGACTGGCAGCAGGATATCTTTATTCTAAGAGATAGCTCATGAACATTTTCCTTATTAATTTCGTCTTTGTGTTGAGGTGGTGTGGGGAGGGCTTGGGGACCACAGGACTTCAGGAAAGGAAGGGGGTGTAGAAGTCAGGACAGACTGTGATCTTTTTTTTTTTTTTTTTTAAAGTGCCTAATAAGTGAGCAAAATGCCAAGACAGATTAGGAACTGGCATGAACCATAGCCAAGCCCATTGCCAATGAAAACGGGAGCCTTCCATGAGCTTGAGTGTCATTCTCCTCTAAATTTAGCGTGCGTCAAGCATTGAGCAGAACAGGAGTGAAATAGCAACTCCAGCCTGCAGGATTATAAACAGCAGTGCCAGAAACTTGGTAGAAACTCTTTAATAGTTTCTCTCTTTTTTTGGAAGTAAAGTAGGGAAAAGTCAAGCTCTCTTGATATTTGAAGAGGAAAAAGTAAGCAGAAGAAAGGGGAAGGATACAGAGGAAGAAATTCAGGGCACAGGCGGACGCAGTGAAGGGGAAGAAGTGACCACGCCACAGACTGGGCAGTGAGTGTGGAGGGAGGACCCCTTGGCACAGGAATGAAACACACGTATTAGAAACAGCCAAAGCCACCAGGCACTGATTGTTGGACTGGAAATGTTCAGATACTGTGTGGCCTTGGTGAAGAGAATTGTTTTAGCCACTTCACCACAGGAGACAGCAGGGTCAGCCTGCCCTGCCTTCTGGAAGTAATCAGAAAGCACATTTTGTAAGAATGGCATTGCCTGAGGGTTCAGATTTCCTAGGCAAGGAGGGGGCAAGCTCTTAAGGCTTTATTTTTAACCCATATTTGTTCCTTGCAGAGACATTACTGCCGGGAGTGTTGAGTGAAGGGACCAGGTGGAGATGGTGAGTAATTCCAGGGAGCAAAGCTTGTTCAAGGTCCTGCGCATGGTCATTTTATTACTAACATAAACTTCAGAAAGAGAGAACAAAGTGTTATATATGCCTTATTCTGATGAAAACATCCCTTTAATTCTACTTTTTCATTTTAAAAAATCTCCAAGGACACATACTACATTGTTGGCTGTACATGTGTTGACTGTCCGAAATCCAAAAATCTGAGCTCTGAAATGTTCCACAGTTTGAAACTTTTTGAGCACTGACATGATGCTCAAAGGAAATATTTATTGGAACATTTCAGATTTTCGGTTTTCAGATTTGGAATACTCAATGGGAAGTATAATGCAAATATTCCAAAATCCAAAAAAATCTGAAGTCAGAAACGCTTCTGGCTTCGAGCATCTTGGATAGTTTCCTAAGCTATGTCTGAGGAACGTGCTGGTACCGGGGGCAGAAGTGGGGTTGAGAGAGGAGGAAGGTAGAGGTGGTCAGAAATCTTAGGTCAGGTCCTGGCCCCGTTCATCTTCAGATCTCACGTTTCCCGTCTGTAAGATGATCTGATACCCCTGAATGTTTTTCTGTTTTCACAACCTGTGATTTTTGTAATCTTGAGGTTTTTCCTTTTCATTAAGAACAACTCTTCATCTGTCTCCCTTAAGGCTGCGTATTTGAGTCATTTCACCGTTTCTCCATTTTTTCCTGGACTCTTTCTATACTCTTCTCTGAACATATTTCCTTGAGCCTTCTCCCGGCAAAAACGGTGGCTCCTTGAACTCACCTTAGTCGTCTGAACAATGCACATTCCATGGTGAGGACTCCATACATTTGTGAACCAGAGAGGTGTTTGATTGTAGGGAAAGGGAGAATAGTAAGAAAGAAAAAATGGAAGGTGGGATCATCTTGAGGTGGAAGAAAAATGTTTATATTGTACACTGAGCTCTGGATCTGAGTCAAACACAGACTGGGATCCTGGCTGTGAGGCCTTAGACAAGTTACATTGTCTCCAAATGTATCCCAATGTTCTAATCTCTAAAATGGACATGATAAAAGTATCTACCTCCTGGGGTGTTGAGAGATTGTACAGATAATGTGCTTAGCATTGTCCTTTGTACACAGTAATCACTTAAATATGTCAGACATATTAATACATATGGTTCAGATGAACTGAGATAGCCCCAGACAAGTCAACAAAGAGTGAAATAGGCAGATCAAGGTAAAATGAAGAATTGAGACAACCAGCAAAGGAGAGGATGTTTTACTCTGAATTGTCTGGTTTGCTTTTCCTATGTTGCCCAAATTTCTCTAGAGGTATGCATTTCCCTTTGTTTCACTTTCGTTTGCCACACAGAAAGGTCTTCAATATTGTTTCAAATTCCTGTTGCCGAGTGTGAAGTGCCTGATAGAAAGGAAACCATGTAAGCTGTAGCCTCTGGCCTGCCTCTCAGACAGGTCTGTAGGACTCGGGAGAAACATGTCACCATGGTTCACTAAGTATATAAATCCTGTGAGATTGGTTTGCTCAGAAAGCTTTGCTGGTGGTTGTATTGATGGAGCCCAGGGTGTGTAGGAGGATAGGGATGCAATCACTGTATTCTTCTTTTTCACTGATAAAGCAATGGCACCTATTAGAGCAAGCACAATTCCCTGATAAAAACTATATTGCCAGGGATTAGAAACCCCCTCCTTGTTCAGACCACTTTTCCTTGCCAGTGTGATAGGATCAGACTCTCACCTTGACTTCCAAATAATATATTGTGAATGCCTGGAAACCCTGCTGTTACTTGCTGGAGTTGACGTATTCAGCCACTGAAACTATTTTCATCGAGTTCAGAGTAAATAAATATCAGGGTAAACTCCTCTCGCTAAATGAATCATTCGACCACGTCTTGTACTAACCCTGATTGAGGTGGTGGTATCAGCGCTGTGTATCCAATGAAAGAAGGCTGCTCTAGGGTAAGGACAGCGGGGAACAGAGCCACGCTGTGTTCCTTTCATTCCTGTTGTTACCTATGGTTGACTTCTCTCCTCTCTCTTGTTCTATAATCTTTCTAGCCCTTTCTTTCTCTTTCTTTATTGGGTTCCATTCACCCTTGCAACATTCTTTTTGTTACTTTTTCAGTGTGTGCTTACCAAAGTCCTTATCTGCTTCCCTCAGGGGTCAGGAATATTGGTAATAGGCCAGCGTCTGGAGAGCATAATTTTTACCAAGTAATGAGAAAGTTTAACTCCTAACATTGGCTGAGACCTTTTGTGTCCCTGTCTCTCTCTCTCTCTCTGATGTTTCCAGGCTGCTGATCCAAAAAGCAGGTCATAAACTGGCAACCCAAAGGTTTGGACTATAGGTACATTTTGGCTCACAAAGTATTGTTTTTTCTTTAATTAGTTACACATTTAAACATCCTAAGATACCTTATAAAAGTCTAGATGTCTAGATCTTCTAGAAAAAGCTGAAGATGGGCATCCCCGATCTGATTTCTTGGGCACAGCAGCTGGTGCCCTCTGGTCAGCTCCTGTTCTTTTGAGAGGGCATATCCACCTCATTCATTGACCCCACCTTTTGACTTCTATGTGTTTACATTAGTCCGCTCTGTTTTTCTAAAGAGAGTTTCTCAACTGAACCAAAGAAAGTAGACAGTGATTGGAGCGACCATGTTTTCTGTTCTCTCAAGGTTGGTGCATATTCCAGATGCATAGGAGAGAAGCTAGGACATAATTAAGCTGTGGCTTCACTCTCTGGGAGAACACTGTTGAGATGGTCTATGTATCTATTGGGCAGAGTTGTAGGAGGACAGTATTGTAGCCAAGAATGCAGGTCTCAAAGTTAGGCATCCCTTGGCATAACACCTCATCGGATTATAGCTAAGACCAAAAACTTCAAATGTGATAGAAATCTGAACAGCCACCACCTCTGGGGATGGGAATTGATTAAGAAAAGGCACAAGGAAACTTTCTTGGGTGATAAAAATGTTCCCTCTCCTGTTTGAATATTGTTCCCAATGATGTTCAGATCTGCAAATCTCACTGGCCTATGTAGCTAATAGCTGTTTATTTCACTAGAAGTAAACTGTACCTCAACAGATGTACATACACATATACATACCTACATGAAAGCATGCAAAGTGCTTGGAAAAATGCATGATCTTTAGCCATTTTTATCGTGCTTGTTTCTAGAGACTGATTTAAAAAAAAAGATAAAATGACCAAAAATAAAATGAGTGTTTCCTTTCAGACCACAGGTTTCATTGCAGGCATTGGAGAGCACAGGTAATAGTGAAAGATTCTTGCCAGACATAATTGTCAAGAGAGAATCTACTGGATCAATTCTAATTTTATGAAACTATTGAATCACTGTAGAAGGATGTACCTAACTTGTTGTAGCTGCTTTTCATGATGCTGTAAAAATTTATAGGCTTTACAGACATATCAAAGATGGTTTATTACCTGGGACAAAATGACTATACTTAAAGTAACTTGCACTCTGGCTGGAATTCAGTAGCCACTCAATAAGTATTCAATAATGTGTCTTAAAATTAATATCCATCTTGAGAACTTCTAGCTAAAACAATCACAAAAATATTGTTTTCATTAGTAATCACATTGTTATAACCAATTATTCACATATATCTAGAAGCATTTAAAATAAGAATTAAGAGAACAGATTTTCCAGCCAAACACTCTGGGTTCAAATGCTTGCTATGCCTTTAACAAGCAAAGTGATTTGGAGTAGGTTACTTAACCACTCTTTCTCATTGGCTCAGCTGTAAAATAGAAATGATTGCGAGGCAGGTACTAATTATACGTCTGTGATGATTAAAAACAGGTAGAACAATGTCTAGCACATAGTGCTATTATACAAATGTTTGTCATTTATGTATGCTTTCTTTATGTCAAAAAAGTGATCTTCTTTTGCAATTTGTCTTTAAATATTGCTCAGAATCTGTGTGTAGATGGTTGGTGAAAGGAATGTGAACTAGGAGTTCAACCAGAAAAGACAGAAACCTGAAATTTATGGGAAACATACTGGTTTTCAGTTTAGCTGACTTTGGTTTTGTGACTGCCTTACTCTGTGACCTTGATTAGGTCATTTTGCCTCCCTGAACCTTGTTTTCTCATCTGTTAAATAAGGATTTGCATTTTATACTGTCCATGTTCCCTTTAGGCCTTGTGTGTCAGTCTCTGATCTCAAGTGTTTGAGTCGTGTTCATTACTATTTTATTACACAGCTTCATCCCCAAGTCACAGAAGAGCTGTAGTAGCTTGACCCCTATTGTCATTATCTGGTTCTGTTGGGAATCATCCACGGGGAATCAGAAAGCACCAGCCTTGTACAACACAAAGTAGCTGGTTGGCTGAGAGGATCTGCCACTCCTATGAAGATAGCTAACCATAGAAGTAGCCACAATGGGGTAGATACAGCATCCTCTGCATGTGAAAATGGTTCCATTAAATCTGCGATCAGACGTTTGAAATTGTTTTTCCTTCACAAGGGCATTCAGTTAACATATTCTTTTCTGGTCCTCAACTTGCAACATCAAGGACCAGCCTAGTTTCATATAGAGCCAAATCTTCAACAATTCTTGCAATGCCTTCAAGTCTTTGCTCAATTATACCCTTCTCCATGAGGTCAACTTTTCCCATGCTTTTAAAAATTGAGCCTGCTGTATTCCCCAGCCCCTGGCACTGCTGGTCTATTTTCTTCTTTATTTTTTTTTTGGAGGTGGGACTTTTCCTCATAGCATTCATCTCCTTGTGATATAAGTATAATATTCTTTGGTGTTTATGTTTCTTATCTGTCTCCCCATCAGTACCTCTTCCCACCACTATGAGATCAGAGATCTTTGTTTTTGCTCATTGATGTATCCCAGATGCCTTGAACAGGGCCAGGGGAGGACCTGAAGGACAGCACATATTTGCAGGTGGTGGCAGTGTTTACAATGCATTCCACGCTGAATATACCTCTATGGTAATTCTAAATACCTTACTTTGTATTCAGGAAAAGCTAGGTC